TAGAACTAGAAAGACGTGCTTGGCTGCAATTATAGGAAATCTGATATAAATGTTTACTCCTAACTTGAACCTGGGATGATAGGCACAAGTCTCATATGAACAGTTCCACTGTTTCGTTAGCCAACCCAGGAAAGCACAAGGGACTTGAGGCAAAGATCCCGTACTAGTTGACGCTGACTTTTTTCAAATTTGCCATGTATGTCAAATAAATTGTCCATACGTATGCACATGAGCTGTTCATTAATGGCTGCCAATAAACATCCATGAGATGTAAGTTGTCACAATTGAATATATAGGAAAATCTAAATTACAATAATTTCTATCTTCAAAATGATTCTGAGTAAGAAGTTTGTGTTTGTGGGTGTGTGGGGAAACTTATAACCAAATGTACCTGTAGATGAACAGGTATGAACCTGAATGTAACAAAGTCACAGAATGGCCAGTACATTGCACCATTTATCAATGTTGGAAGTAGGTCACGCTTCAATCTAGCAACAATCTCTTCACCACTTTCACCTGTTTATGGCACCATAATAGGAAGTAAAATAAGAATATTTCAGCATGGGCAAACAACAGCAAAAAGAAGACCTAAAAGCAAGAATTTTGACATAACACACATGGATGAGGAACCTAGCCTAACAGTTTTGAATTGTCACATGGCAGCACTAATTTCGTCTGCCCTCTTATTGGATGGATTGAACTTCTGAAGCAAAGCCAATCAGATTCCTAAATTGAGAATAGGGTCCTAAGACAAAAAAATAATAAACTAAACTGCTGCAAAGCAAGACAATCACATTGCTTGGTACAGCTGATAATGCGTTGCCTTATACATCACTAGCAAGAAACCTGAGCATGCTATTGATGTTTAAGCAACATGCATTGATCCAAGAAAAGGTCTACAACTCATATGCACAATGATGGCTAATGGTGATATCAATTCAGCTAGAGCCTAAAAGTGCCACTGAACATGGTGGGTCAAGAGGTGTCAGGCAATCTGAAGTCCACAAAAAAGCCACAATGGACCCAACTTAATTTGGAGAAGTGAGAAACTATTACAATAATGATCGTCAAAGAAGGTCCCGACATTGCATTTATAATAAAAATTTTGTTCCCCCTTTAATCTTTTACCTTGTAAAGCTGCATTGTAGGAGAAGAAAGCAGAGGTGCTGGTAGGTCCGTAGATAACCTGCCCCATAAGAATTTTCTTCAAGGTTGTCAGTAGATCCCGTTTTGGTAAAATTTTTGACACAAAGGTAAACCAGACGTGCTGTGAGGGCCCTAAGAGCAGCAGACCATATACAGCCATCCGCAATGTCCTTACTGAGTCAAATGAACTAGGTGATGATGTGATCATCTACAAGAGATGTAAGTTTTAAGTCAATGAGGAAATCCAATTCTTGTAAATTAAAAGTAAAAGTGAAGAAAAAAAAATGAAACTAATACACAATAGCATAACTAATACCAACTTCAACCAGAGTGGCAATTGTTATGATGAAGTTGATGTATAATCATGTCTCACCTTGAGAACCACTAGAAAGAAAAAGTGGTGTTTCAACAAAGGGGATGAATTATGTCAATAAAAGAAGCTATATTGAAACTATGGTCTGGTGAATGACGAATGGAACTTCAGACAACAACAAAACATAATTGCCTGTTTGATTTTCTGAACAGAATGAAGCAGTGCCAATTAATCAGGATCTAAATTATACAAATGTTATACCTTTTAAGTAGTGACAGAATTGCAAATAAATCAAGAAGACATGTTAGAGGAAGATCATAAAACTTCAATGAAATGGAGGTTACAATCAATCCTATCCATCACAATTTTCATTATTTGCATGATTTGTTGCAAAACTGAAATTTCAAAACATTAAAAGCATAATTATCACCAAATGGATAAACAAACAATCAATCTGCTGCATTTACAACCATAAAAAAATCAAGTTCAGAAATTTATCAATCCAATCAACCATTCCTCCACCGAATTTTCCAAAGAACACAAGGAATTATCATAATTCAATGTGAATCACCAAAAGGAAATTCTAGGTTTTACCTGGGAAGTGACGTCGGCAGCAGCAAAAATTAGAGAAGTCGTAATGCTCTTGGTGATTAGCGGTTTAGATTCTAGCTTGCTCAAATACCATCCCAAAGGCCCGACCTTCGGCGATGACGTTGTTGAGAAGTAGCGGGAAGCCGGGAATTTGTTGACGGGATAAGAAAGGTTAGCGCGTTTGATTCCGGCGAGATTATGAGGAGACGAGTAGAACCGCCATTGTTGGTTTGTGAGAGAAGTTTTATTCACAGAGTGGACGTCGTGGAGCGAAAACCAGTCACCGAGGCGGCGGAGGCAGCGGTGGCTCAAGTTTTTCATGGAGTTGCCGCCCATTTCCCACTTCTGCGGCGGAGCAGATTCAACAAACGGTATTTGTCTCTTGCTGGAGACTTGTAATATGTTATCTCATGTTTCATTTCTCAATAACAGAAAAGAAATATATATTTCATCGGAAATTTAAATACCAAAAAATCAAAGAGAATAAATTATGTGGGAATTCCTTAGTTTTTTCTGATTTACTCATTTTGAACAAAAAAATTTGTTATTAGAGAGAAGAAATAGTGGGATATGTATGATTAAATGTCTAATATAAGAAATGATAATTTTTTTTTCCTTTTTGGAAAGGAGAGAAAATACACTCTAACAATGGAACTACTATAAACATAAGCGTATCAAAGAAAGAAGTTTGAAACTCTCTTGTTAATTTCCTCATAAACACAATTAACATCTTTGATATGTCTCTTGGTATTCCGTACATTATAAAAATGTTATTAATAGAATATTAAATTTTAGTATTAAAAAATTCATATTTTATATATTTTTTTAAAATACCTATTTTTCTTTTATGATAGTGTTTTTCTAATTCTATGACTATTAGGTTGCAAAAATAAATAAATAAATAAGGTATAATATCCATGTTTAATGTAGTTAAGTAACAATTATAAAGGCAAATACATGAAAAGTTCAATTCAAATCAAAAGACATCTTTATATTAGAGATCTTAAATTCAAATTCTAAAATAGATGGCAAAAGGTTTGAGGAGGGAGTTATCCTTGGTATAATCTATCCTCCAACCCAAAAAAAAAAAAAAAAAAATCAATAGAAATAAATGAAATGCATACCAAACTAAAAAAGTGTTTGAATTAACTATTTATATATAACTGATAGTTAATAATTAATATCTAACAGTTATTAATCATTTTTGTTTATAACTAAAATATCTAATATATTTGATTAGAACCAATTGATAATTGTTGACAAAAAAGATCGAAAATAAACACTCCTTACACCATGGAAGAGATTGGGTTAGGGATTCAACTGTAACAATTGAGAGGTTGAAGACTTGATGCTACAAAACTAAAAGAGTTAGGGAGCATATATTTAATTCGCTTTTTTTAAGGAGTCAAGCAAAACATCAAAACATGTATGTTAGTATATTTAATTCATAGGGTAAAATATTTTTTGAATGGATTATAATTTAAGAGGAGGGGGTTCATACCCTAACTCCAATAATTTGTTTGGATAAAAATTAGTAAAGAAAAGAAAAGGGAAGGGAAGAGAAGAAAAGAGTAAATATTAATCTTGTTTGGATGGATGAAAATAGATGAGAGGAAAAGAAAATATTTTTATTTAATTAAATAATTTAAAATTTACTAATTAAAATAATAATTGAAATATAATATTTTTATACATTTATTTTTAAAAAATATTAAATATGTAAATAAAATCCTTCCCAATTTCTCAAATTTGAAAAGATGAAAAATAGAGGAGTGAAGAGGACTTTATCTTCTTTCGTCTCCCACTCTCTTCCTTAATAAAGAAAAACAAATAACTCCTTATTCTCCTCACTCCTGCTCTAAATCCACCAATCCAAACAGGATTAAAGGTAGCGGTGCATCTTATGATGAATTATATGTCATTAAGTCAAGAAATTTAAGTGTAATTCATATGTTAAAGTATCGATAATTAAAATATTAAAAATAATAATTAAAATATTAAAATATTTTAAATAAATTTATGCTATAATAAGAATTTATTAATAATTTTTACGTTAAATAATTTAACAGTTCTGATTTTTACTCTTTTCTAACAAAAAAGGATAAAAAAAGAATGGTCCCTCCCCTTCCTCCACTGGTTTCGGGAAAAGGGCATTTAGAAAGTTAACACTTTCACTTTCAGGACAACCAAAAGAGATTTTGTTTCAGTACAGTCTTCTCCACCCCCCTATTCTCTCTTTTTTTTTCAGAATTCTCCATCCCTTCACTATCGTTAAGACCTGGCGCAGTGACGGAGGTCAGCACCGCGGAGGATCTAACCAACATGTCAAGGGCTAACGTCTATGCCGACGTCACCGCCTCAGGGATTACTGGGATTACGAGTCTCTCACCGTTTAGTGGAGGTAAAGTTAAACAACGAAAACCATAATCAAACCTTATCTTGATTTTGAATTTGTTACAGTATTTAATCTTGCCATTTGATTGAGATCATAAGCTTTTTGAGTGCGATTTGAGCATAATATTTGTTGCAAACAAGATTATGTTGTTTGATCTTCGTTTTTGAACTGATTTGGTGTTTCAGTGATCAAGATGACTATGAGGTTGTTCGGAAAGTCGGAAGGGGAAAATACAGTGAGGTCTTCGAGGGTATAAGTGTTCCCACCAATGAAAAATGCATCATCAAGATTCTAAAACCGGTCAAACAAAAGAAGGTGACATTTCTCCCTAGTCTTCTTTGCACAATGGGTTGAATATGGTACCAGGCAAACATGAACTCAGTTGTTTCGAAGCTTTTGTTGTTTCAAGGTATACTTTGATGAGAAATTTGTATATTAGTATCTTAATTTGGTAACGTGGTTTTGAGTTTTCTGTTCAGTATGGAAGTCTGGATACAGCTGGTAAAAAAAGTGTGTAGTGTATGGTGAGCCAAAAATTGTGTACTTTGACCTTGAATAAACCTGGGAACAATTGATGTAGTAGTTCTGGATTATGGCAATTGAAGTTTATGAAAGTTCATTTGAGTCAAATGAGGACATTGTCTCCCCTGCTCTGACATCAAGCTTACCCTTTTTTCATCTCCCCCAAAACAAGCATCCTTTTTTCTTTACTTGCAGTTTTTAAACAGGGTAGTATTTAATTTTTAAAAATAGATTCCATAATGGGTACAACGATCCACTTGCAGAGCTGCTAAAAGTTTACCTCTTGTTTATGTACACTTACCATACAGGACGGTTGTTGGGTGAATTAATTTATCCTGCTTTAGCTTATTATATTTCCTGGATGCAAGTGGTGTACTAAATTACATTGGAATTTATGCAGATAAAGAGGGAGATAAAAATTCTTCAGAATCTTTGTGGAGGTACAAATATTGTAAAGTTTCTTGATGTGGTCAGGGATCAGCACTCAAAAACTCCTAGCTTGATTTTTGAATATGTGAACAGTACAGATTTTAAAGTTTTGTATCCTACACTGACTGATTATGACATCC